AAATACCTATTGTAGAGATAAATTCATGTGCTTTATTTTCCCGATTTGCCCTAGTTTTCACACGAACACAATTTTAGCAGGCGATTTGTATTCACTTTACGAACTCTGTGATTTCCGTTGAAGTTTCAATAATATTTCGAGTATCTCATATTGCTCTTTAATTGTGATGTTAATTGAAGCCCTAGCATAAACATCACAATTAAGGAGCATGATGAAATGCTTGAAATGTTATTGAAACCAACGGAAATCACAGAGGTTATAAACTGAAATCAAATACCCCGCTAAATTTTGATGTAAACCCAATCGATAAAGAAGATTTCTTCTGCCAGTAGTGGAAATTAGAGTTTAGTTTTCATTGCAGCCGCTGAGATAAGCGACAAATAGCATTCTGCAAGCGTATATGGCAGTTTCCAATCTATAACCTCTGTGTTCTGTGTTTCAGATCTATTTGTGATTTGTCGCTTGTGGTTACCGGTAGTTCTGTATTTCCACGTGTTGAGTTATTTATAAGAAATTACAATGGCAAATGAGTTAGAAAAGAAAATCATTCGTCAGATTGAGTTCTATTTCGGGGATATTAATTTGCCAAGAGACAAATTCTTGCTGGAAAAGGTGAAAGAAGATGAAGGATGGGTCTCATTGGAAACCATGCTGAAATTCAACAGACTCGCTAACTTATCAAAGGATCTAAAAGTTATTGCCGACGCTTTAGAAAAGTCTGAGGAAAAAGTTGTTGTGCTAAATGATGATAAAACCAAAGTGAAAAGGAATCCAGAAAAGCCACTTCCGGATAACAATGATGAGCGTCTTGCAAAGCTGCGAGAAAAGTCTGGTAAGCATATTTAAAGGTGTTTATTATAGGAATCACGGCTATGGACTCATCAGTGTTCAATTGCAAATTTTCCTTCACTTTTTAATATGTGTATTTTAATATACGTGTATAAGTATGTATAATGTCTCCACAGTACATTAAAACTTTATACAGCCATAGAAGATCATGTTTTACATGAGTAAAATGAATTACAAACACGTGTTTATGGTGCCCCATTTTTTCGTTTCAACTTGAGATATCCATTCAGCATTTTATATTTTGGGCAATTGTCTGGGAAATCCAGACCTCGCAGGCCCTCCGTTCGCGATTAACAATTGGCTCATGTACTTTATACCTGGCCGATTTTATATCTTTTTACTTAAAGTACACTTAAATAAAACAGGTAATTTCAGTGAAAGAAATTCCGATCGTCAGTAAATTTGCTCAAAATCACTTTTGAAAATCATGTTTAATGGACCCTGTGTTTACCAATAAAATTGAGATTGCCCAATGCTCTTTACTGTTAGATAAAGTTTTAAGAACGCCAATCTATAATTTGACGCAAAATTGTGCCTAAAATCCAAATTCGCGAGTTCAACTACCGGTGAGGGCGCTGCGCAACGCATTACTCGCTATCGTTTACTGCAGAAAATCACGATTACATTACATTGGTAATACCTTCCTCATAACATACTACTTACACACTTTTCAATATGATTCTTTGTTTTCTGTTTAAAGGCTTGCAAAAGGTAAGGAGAACTAAACAAGTTAAAGTGTAGTTATAATTTTGCCACCAGTGGGCGCTTGGACTTTTGATCTCGCGAATAAAACCCATGTATCCGTTTATACGAAAGTGTTTCTATTGGTTGGAGATCTGTCAATTCGTCCGTCGTCGTACTAACTGGCAGATCTCCAACCAATAGAAATACTTTCGTATCATTCATCGTATAAACGGATTCATGGGACAGAGGCTTAAAGTTTTTGCAGAGCCATTCATGAATTATAATCTACACTTAACGAGTAACATTTGACATTTATTTTGTGGGTTTGTGTATTATTAAGTGATTTTGACGTTTTGCATCGCCTCCATCGGAAGTTGAATTCGCGAATGGAGACTTATTTCAAACCGATCAAAATTGGTTACGGTTATGTTGAATCCCCACCGTCCATTTTCAAAATTCCCTCGTCTGTCATATTTTCATATTACTAAAGTCAAGCTTTCAAACAATTTGAATATATCTTATGTAACCCATTTTGTGCAATTCGAGTTGATTTAATTTTTTGTTATAGCTTATGCAAAAGGATTTCCGTTGGATGCAGAACTAAACGATATTATCGATTTTATGGATCAGTATGGTCCGATTGAATCTGTTATTCGTAGAACCCACAGCAAAGAGCACCAGTTCAAAGGATCTTGCTTTATTGTTTTTAAGACTATCGAATTAGCAAAAAAATTTGTTGAGTTAGATGGTGTGAAGTTTAAGGATCTAGATTTGATACGAAAAATGCAGAATGACTATTTTGCCGATAAGAAAAAAAAGTACGAAGAACGGAAAAAACTCCAAAAAGAAAAGCAAAATGCTGTTTTGAAAGAAAGTGCAGAAAAAATCGAATTTCCGAATGGGGCAATCCTCCATTTTAGTGGCATCCCAGAAGGACAACAATTGACCAGAGAAGAGATTAAGGAGAAAATTACAGAAGCTAGTGGTTTTGACGTAGTATACATCGATTTTAACAAAGGGGATTTGGAAGGATATGTACGTTTTGCAAAAGAAAATAATGCTGCAGAATTCTTTAAAACCCTCACAGAGGGCGAATTACAAATTGGTAAGTCTAAAACAATTTAATAATAAACTAAGTAATTATTTATTTTTTACTGTAAGTTTTTTACTGTTTTACTGATACATTTGATATGTTTTTCTATAGGCGAAAATAAATTAAAGGCCAGAGCTCTTGAGGGTGACGAAGAAAAAGAATATCTGAAGAAAACCTCAGAAGCCATGGCGACCCAAAGGATTAAACAGAAAAGTTATGGTCGGAAACGGAAAGGAAACTTTGGCGGTGGTAAAAATGCGAAACATTCCAAAAAGCAATAGATCACTGCAATTTATTGTTAGCATGTTTATTAATAACATTTTATTTTTGTACAAATTTGAAATACTGTTGTGTCAAAGAAACATTGATTATGTTACAGCGCAAATTTACTTATCACTATAAGTATTAATGGTAATTATCATGTGATTCCGTTATTAATGTTTAAACTTTAATCAATAATTTTTTCTTTTTAATTTTTTAGGGTCTGTTCTGTAACGACTTTATTGCAAACAAAAATTAATAAAGACCTTTGATGTACGATTTTCCAAACAATTAGGTATTTCAGTTTTGTTTATGAAATAGGTTATTAATTTGTCAAGGACAGAAAACTTTTTGTGTTTTAGATATTATTATACATTTTAAATTTTGAGAAAAAACTAACCGCTAATATTCGTCCTATTTATTCTGATGCCGCTGCCATTAAAAATTAGCAGAAAGCAATCATTGAAATACTATTAAAAATTTGGTTTAGCCTTTTTCTGTATTCTTTAAGTGGGTCCGAGTAAGTGTTCAAATGCAAATTTTAATCAAATACTAGTGTTTACATTGCCGTCTTCTATGGTTGTTGTTTCTGAGATACAAAAGAATATATTTACGATTGTCACAATTAGAAAATTCGCAGAAATCACATTCTAACTTAGTCCTAACCCTTGTCGGTACGAAACGAGATCTGCCTCAAATTTTGAATCTGTATTTAGAATTTTTTTTTTAAACTGATTACAGTCATAATGTTTTCCCCTCTGGGTTAGTTTGAGCCGCAAATACATTAAAAGCTGGTTTAAACGAAAAGAAAGTCATGTTAACTGGATTCCATATTTTATTAAATATTTCATATTTTTTAAATAAAAAAGTTACATGGACGCATGTATTTTGCTTGAATCAGACCTCAATCACAATCTTCAAAATCCATTGGCGGGGTTGCATCCTCAGCATCTCGGCATTTGGCATTCACCAGTTCCCTTCTAATTTCTGGGGTTATTAAGTAATGATTATGTTTTTCTAATAGATCGAGTAGAAGTTCCCTTTGTTCTGTTGAAATATCTGCCTTGTATCTCTGTACAAAAGTTAAATATGCCTGGTGCCACAGAACAGGGAGTTCGCGGGAATCCATAGCAAACCTAAAACGTTTCGATATCGTTCAAAACATTGTACTAGAGTGCAATTAGAATTGAATATAACTACCTCATGAAATGAGAAACTAATCCATCTACTACTCGATACGGAAGAGCATATTTTTTATCCAAAAATATTCTAAGGAATATTGAATTAGCTCCTGTATAGTCCATATCTGCAATTTTCAGCATAGCAACTGAAGAATGTAGCATCGGAATAGAACTTCTAGCTACTATCGAACCGATAATAATGGCCTCGCGCAAGCTGCAATTTCCCGATTCAAGAAGGGGTAAAATAATTCCTAAAAAAAGAGAATTTGCGGCAACTACAATAACGCCAACAGTATCAAAATACCTTTCATAAATGCTCCAGGCTTGTACAAGGCTTTTCTTACTGCTTGATATAGATGAAAGTTTAAGCGCTTGTATTCCGCGATATCATCTCGTACACGTGGCAGAAGAACAAGGGTGAAAAATCGCTGTGCCAAAGTTTCTTTTAAATTTGATGTGAAAATTCTGGTTCCTTGATACATTGCAGCAGCAGACCAGCATTGGGGTTCTAAAAATTCCAACAAATCGTGTCTCCTAAACATTGTAATAAACCAATAGGAATATGTAAAGTAAAAATGCTTTACATTATATACAAGCAGCATACTAAGTATGCAGAAAAGCGTAGGCTAAAATGGCTAACAAAAAAAAGTTTTTATAGGGGGGTAGTGCGACTTAAATCCGGTGCAAAAACGTTTTTCTTCATATATTTTAAATCGGCGTCAGCGCTTTAAAGAGGTTATCACGTGTTACATGGAGAGTATGGGAAAAATGTTTTTAAAACAATTCTTGATTGATTTTTCGCCGCCGATCTTGCAGTTGCACTTTCAAATTTGCTACTAAGCAATATTTATTTCAAAGTAAATCAATGCTCATTGGCCAAACTATTATTATAGTAAAACATTGCGCAAGCTGCCCTAAACTGCATCTAAGCAGACATTTGTTGAGAAACATCCGCGTTACCGCGTACTTATGGTTAGTTTTTATGTACTATGTACTTCAAAATTTAAAATGTATAACAATGTCGAACATGCTTAAAGCTTATCTTTCGACTTTAAATAGGTGAAATATTGTACATGCGAAACGTACGGAACCAGAGTGTTGCATTTATTACAAGCAAATTGATTCTACTGGGAAAAAAGTTTATTTCAGTCCGCAAAAAAATCCTTTAATTTATTTCAAATGTTTTACCTGAAAAATATACGGTTTTCTAAGGGTTCTGGACCCTAATCGATGCGAATGTGGAAATCGGGCTTCTGGAACTCCAAAAGGATCTAATAATCTACGTGCTGACATGTTTTAATTTATAAAAAGTACTCTACAAACTGCGCAATGAGAATCCAAGGCGGTTTGCGGATATCCTGTATTAAACTAGGTAATACATGCAGCATGTAGCTTATCTAATTTCCAAATTTGCAGGCCGCTAGCGTACGTAAAAATTTTTGTCTTTAAAAAGAGAATTTTTGAGGCAAAATACCCAATAAGAAGTTTGTCAAAAAATCTAATAAACTAATTCGAAAACAGCCAAGAATGGGGGATCTATTGAAAAAACCATAGTTGTTATAACGAATATTAGAAAGTTAAATGAAGACCTAAGATCCTGAACACAAAGCTTCCGTAAGAATAATTTCCCTCTAAAATCAGTATTTACTGATTTATCGCAGTTGGACGCACTAATGATTATGCTATTGAGCCTATTGATCGAAGCAGAACACTGGGTGATGTAAATAAACTGACTAGACTTTATCTCAAAACCCGCTTCATTGAAACAAAATGTCAGGTTCTCTAATCGGCATAAGTTAAGAAAATAGCATGTCCGCAAATACTTCTGATGAACGCAATATGTGTATACAATACGCTAAATGACTTACCTGTTATGTACAACATTTGTTCCCAATTTAGCAGCGTTGGTATAATTTTAAAAGCTTTAGGCAATTTTCCACTTCGATAAATCTTTAAAACGTCTCGAACTCCTTCATACAAGGTCGTCAATTTTGGATCGACGTTTTGAATTTGGATCTCTCCAGCATCACTGAAAACAAAAATCATTTGCCGTAACATCACACGAAGTAAGGTACTTGTTTAAATATAATTTTTACCTAAACTGTGTATCTAATTCGGTTTGCCTTTCTGTAATTTTTTCCAATATTATATCAGCTAATGTTCGTTGTGGGACTGGATTTTTACTCATAAACAGCTGCATAGCCTTTTCGTCGTCTTCATTTACTTGTACATCCTCGTAAAATGTATCGGTCGGTTGCGAATCAAGCTACAAAAAACATGATATCAATAGTTTAACTTTATCGCTTCGAAAAACCAATTTTTAGAGGGGCTGCCGAAGGACAGTTTATGTTCGATCGTTTTACTGCTCGAATCTAGTTCTTATGCGACAGTTTTTTTCGGAATTAGTATGTACGTAGATAAAAGTTAACGTAAAAAGTACTACCAGCTTACCTCTTCATCGCTTTCAAGTCCATCAGGATTTAAATCTTCTAGCCATTTGTGCGCTCTTAATGATTTATGTTGCTGCTCATCATCTTGCCCTTCAAGTTCTTGCTTTTGCTTTCTAGCGGCTGATAAAATTTTCTTCGATAAGCTTGAACTCACATACTAAAATGTTAATAGTATTGAATTGGATTAATAATGCAATTATTTTTAGCTGTCAGTATGAAATTATTAACAATGATTCCAAAGAAAATGCTTAGACAAATACGGACACTAATAATCATTTTACTAGTTTGTCGACACTTGGGCGTCAGGAGAAAATATCGACAAAGCAGTAAAACGTAGTTATGTTATTGTGTTAAAGAATAGTACTAATAATCATTGCTTTTTTTTTCATCGGCAAATAATTATTATCTCAGATTAGATTAAGCAGTGAATTCTGCTGTATTAGTTATAAAAATTAATTTACGCTATGATCGTTTCAAAGAGATCTTTCCGAATGCTTTAATATAATCTATTTTTCAATTGTTAAGTTAAAAAAATAGGAGTGTGATTGTAGTCGCACAAACCAAAACAATTAAAAACATTTTAATTGGAACGTAAAAGCGTAAACTCCATCTTGAAGCCCTGTCTTTTAATCGTTTAGCTAGAGCGGCCATGCCAAAGGTTTAACATGTTCAAAACGCGTATAGCAAAATTTTTTTTATTATTAATACACGAAATATAGCTCGAAAAGTTACAATCAGTAGGTAAACTCAGTAAGGTAATGTAAAAGTGACCGGAAATGAAACAAATAACCAGCGATCTGATTATTAATGCGCTAGATAATCACAAATCAATTGAACGTCCGAAAAACGCCCAAAGCTTTGTGAAAAACTTGTAACGGATCTCAGTGATAAATTGTCGTTAAATATGATTTAGCAGCAAATAGCACCGGCAATCTAATATTCGAGTGTAGTAATACCTCGTGCAGGTAAAGCGAATTTCAAGTGTGTTTTTCAGTGAAACTTATGGATGATCCAGTAATTTTTCTGTCTGAAACGGATTAATATCAGAGGCATTTAAGTTTCAGAAAAAATGTGAATTCGGTCGGAACCTTAAACGACACCGGAACCGCGTGATGTACATTGTTTATTAGGAGAAATCCACGGAACTTTTAGATTGGCTGTATCGTTAATATTTTATTATATTGTTATAATTTGTATCAAGAGTACAGTACTTGGCGTTAACTGTGAGCGTTAAATAGTATATTACGGTACAAGGGAGGAAAGTCGAACTGCTTGAAGTTGACGAAGTGGCGAGCCTTCGACTTTCGTCTCTCGTACTATACTATTTTTCTTGATCCTCGGTGGAAACAAGCCGGGAAAAGTATAAGGTTTAAAAAAAACGGCTTTCAAAATGTCAAAAAAACAGTCAGCTGCCAGTCAGTGACAAACAGTTAAGCTGTCAGCGTGCGTGGCGAAAGTTATTACTTTTCACCAGGGGAACAAGAAAATGTTATTTCCTTGGTGGAAAACCTAAGATTACATTATGAAGAAAGTAATAGATACAAATCATTCAAAATGTAAGAGATGGTGATGAAAATAAGCGCAAAATAAACCGTTGCTCACTTACACTATTTTGCTTGGGCATTTTGGGTACCCGAAAGTAGCACACGCACAAATACAAAATGTGAAGAGTGGTCGAAAGCTTCATTTTGGATCAAAATACAATTGGAAAAAGTTGTTAATATAACACTATCTATAAAGTGAGCATATTTTTAATAGGAAAGACATGTCCCATTATAGGTATTACCTTTCAATAATCTAATGACATGATAAATAATGTATATGGTGTTATGACTTGTTGAAGCATGTCCCATAACAAGTACTACTACTTACTATTATTAAATACTACAGTCTACAGTTTCTCATAAGAAATAAGCAAAAAACCAATTTCTAACCTCCTCTTCCTCCTGCCTGGGTCTCACTTTGTTTCTGTTTTTTTGTTTGGCGTATTGCGCATTCTGGATATCTTCCTCTAATGTAGATTTCATGCTTATTTCGGATGGTTTTGCTCGTTTAAACTTCCCCATATTTATTAATACGAATCTAAAATCGACAAATAATCCACGTGCTTAAGGAATAAACTCACACCACTACTTTTACAGCTGATCAAAATAAACTTGACTGGAGTATCTTACAACATAACCACGAAACGTAATCTTATTCAAATGAAGAAGAAGTGTGAGAAGAAGTTTCAGATTGAAGAAGAAGATAAAGATAAAACTTCCTAGATAAAGATAGCAACAGAGGTGTTTTGGGCTTAACAAGTACAATAGACCGACAAGCCTATTTACGTTTGTGGGTTTTTCCGTCAATAGATGGTGGCAAAAATAAAACACTATTTTTTCATGGGCCGACGTTTCGACTATATTTAAATCCTTAGCGCTCTAAAAAGGAAAACAGAGAGGTTTCTGCTTTGAGCTTAGTGAAGTTGATCAATCAATTGAAATCACCGCTCTTTCCTTGAATATTTCTATGTCGATTTAACGAGCTTTCGAGTGGTGGGCACCACTATCACCTCTTATTCGAAGAAATGCCTCTACAGAGAAATGTCAACCCTTCTTCATATTTTTTCAACACTTGTTCCCCACATCCTCCAGTTTTCAGACTGCAATGTTACTCATAGCTCCTTGATGTACAGGAGCTCATTATCCCTTCTTCTAAATCTGTCCATACCGTAATGTAGTTTATTGCCTCTCCTATCCACAACTGGACCACTAATTTTCTATTTAATTTAATTTTTAATTAATTTTTTCTAATTTTGTATTGCGAACAGTATTCTGTTATTTTACTCGTTATCCTCATTATTTGTTTACGTCTTGCAGCGCCCCCGTCCGTATGAATTTGTGATTTCAATTGTCAGTCCATAACCTAACAAAGAAGATTATGGGATTGTATACAAAAATCATTTACACCTAATTTGAAAGTTATATTTTTAAAACGTTATGTTTCGGAATTGAAGTCGATTCTAAAAGAAAGTTGCATTTATTGCACAACGATAACTCCAATTTGGCATTGGTGCATTAGTTTAAAAAATGGTTCGATATTCAACAGCACTCTCTCATATTTTCTTGGCTGCAACTGGATTGTATTGCTACAAAGCGTTGATTAATTTTCGACTACCATTCTGCAAAATCTCTTATGGTGTTATTGCTTTGCATTCCTTCATAGGGATATGGAGGTGGGGTATGTATTAGTTAATAATTAAACAGCATTGTTTCTTTTGTGAGTACGTTTTTTTAAGTATTTTTCCTCTCAGTGCTTGAATTTTGTCTCCCAAAATTAGAATATAATATTAATACACCTCAGATTAAACAAATGCATTTGTTTACGTTTTTCGATGGGAGCAACAATGATTAACAGTATATAAAAGTAGGTACTTACGCGAGCTGCTTTGCCGGCACGGTATTCAATTTGATATGTTGGAGTAGCATCAACAAGAAAGTATCAATAAAAATATAGCCATGAGGGTATTTAGTGTTATACTTGTTTAGTTTGTAATAAGCGGCAAGTATGTTATTAAAATAACATTATAAAAAAAATTAAGATAATTTAAGGTGGTAATTACAAGAAAACATAATGCACAGAATATACCCCAACAGGGGCGATATTTTGTGAGATAATGAAACATTCATCATGACAACACCGTTAATGAGGGGAATACGGAGTAGTAACATTGCAGTAAGGGGAAATGTGTACAAGGCGCAGTCGTAGGCCCGTAGCGGCCAGGTGAGCGTGTCCTTGGATTAATTCTACTATATTATTTTCTTTCTTGGGCTCCAGTCAAAGTGTGAAATAAAAATTTGCATGTTATTTATTTCATTACGTTTCGACGAGACAATAGTGCCTTAATCAGATTTTAAAATTCATACAAACTACAAACATCAATTTACACTTAAAATATGTTGACAAATATGTTGTTCATCCACTAGCACTAGGTTACGCAAAAACCGATAAGAAGTAGTTTTGCCTTCCATTTTCCTGTGCAACATTCACCAAATCATCCACATTGCCTATTTGCCTTTCAAAATCTGTGTGTTTCAGAATGTGAATGAAAATAGTTTTTTGCAAATTTCTCAGTTTTTAATAACAATTAATTTCTTTTACTAGTTTTTCTGTACTCCTATAACACCGCCAGACAACACCCCCAGAGGAATGACGCCAAATTTGAATCACCCTGTATATTTTTTAAATACTCAATAATAATTTTGTTTGTTGTTTATAGCAATTTTTGATAAGGATACATCTTTTACGTAAAAATGATAGATATCAATTTTCTTGCTAAAAATTTTGATACAAGCATGCACGAAAAAGTTGTTGACTGTTGTGAAGAGAGAAAGACATGTAGGTAGCGCTCTCTATATATGAAACCACCGAATGCCAAGTTTCGTTCAAATATCGATATGGTATCAACAATTACTTACAGAAACAAAAATTAGAATTAATTTTTGAAGACCTTGTAGCTCAATAAGTAAGTCCTTGCGGACTTCCCGGATGCCCTGCAAAATAACGTACACTTATTGAAAAACACCCTGGTTTTATGTCTGTGGTCTTGAAATCCGAAAACGGTTTAATTTTTGTTCAACAATGGAGCACGCCGAAATTTTGCATTTTCTACCCTGTAGTTAACTTTTGCAAAATCAGGATTAACAAGAAAAATGGATCTAAATAACGCGTGAAACAGACATCAAAACGGTTGCACGAATTAACCATGTCCAAAGAGAGGACAAATTTCGCCGTGTTTTATTTATTTTACTCAACACCCACAAAAATTCATTGCTATCTTCAACATAAAGAAGAATTACATATAGCAGTCCAACTTCAGAGAATTATCTTTCTATCTATTTTCCCCTTGAGCTTTGCGAGATTCGCAAAAATTCTTGTGTTAATTAATTGTTGTTCCTGTTGAATTTTTATTAAAACTGATATTTTTTTATAAAGCGATATTAATTCCTCCAATAAGCATTTTGCTTGTTTCAAAAACTATTGCTCGGAAACCAATGCGAAAATTTTGTATTTTCGAATTAAGTACCTACTTTATTTTTATTTTAAGGTTTATTTAGGGGCCTTTTAGCTGCGGGCCAATTTTAAATAAAAAAAGACACATTTATTTAATGATTTCAAATGGACTTTAATGCCATCAAGATATACATAGAAAACACAAGTTTATATTGTAACTTTTTTGACACCCCGTAAATTTTTCTACTGGTGTGATATTCTGCAAATGATTATCTGCTAAAATGTATTGAAATTTTATAAAATATTTCTAATAATAAAGGAGCTAAAAAATAGAGTTGAAATCAGCAATTAATAAAACAGTTAAAACAAATTATCAAAAATAAAATTATAAACCACCGTTCAAAAAATCTAGCTCATAACAACCATAACGGTTTCTGAAATAACCAATTTTGGCCACCCAATCAGCTTACATTATTAAATGATTTTGTAAAATATGAATATCTATTTTTTATAGTGCAATTGAAACATTTTAATTATTTGTTTCAGGTAATCCAAAATATGGGATGCATTTTAATAACGTTTACCGCTTAACCGATAAAATTCAAGACTTGCTTGTATTTCCTTGCATAGTGACAACAATTTGGCTCAAATATAACTATTCTCTCAATCTTGCGTGTGCACATACAATTATATCGGTTATTCCGTTAATTTTATATTTGCATGATAACCACAAGCATAAACCTATTGATGCGTTTCTGGCTGGCAATGTCCTCTCATTGCTAGCGGTGTCTCACTACAATTTTAATCATTTCGGTATAACCACATCATTCTCATATGCGTTGAGCTATTTTGCCATTAAAAGAGATGTATTTACCAACTTTCCGTTTCACATACCTATTCTAGATTTGTACAATTATTCAATGTGTTTCTTTAGTTTTTTTGCGCTTAAAACTATCCAGGAGCCTGTGTATGAGTGAAAGGCATTTTTTGCGGACAAATTACTGCGAGTACAAAATGGGCAAGGAATTCAGCGCTGGAAAAGTTCCATAATTATATTAATTTTAATAGATATATCTAATATATAAATGATGTTTGTCTAATAGGAGATACTTTTCATTGTCTAATTTAGATTTATGCTGATAAATCTATATACTATGTGTACCTTGTTTCTTCAGAAAATATACCTAATATGATGTGTTTTGTCCTGTTGCTGATGTTACTGGACAGTTCCGACTTCCTAGGTAGCTCTGTTACGGGTGTGCTTTCTTAATGTTGCTGTACTTAACTTACTATTTAAAATATATGCATGTATATGTATATTAATTTATACGTTTGTTTATGTTAAAGCGAAAACAGTATACACCGTGTTGTAAGTTTCTACAATCTGAAATACAGATTATTTTAATGATTCATGCATGAAATATTACTCTAATATATTGTTTGTCACATTTATAAGATTCTAATGAAATTAATGTTTTTCGGATGTAGTATTGTATATTGCTGTTATTAAAGATATTCATGTTGTGTTATTTATTTTAAGTTATTATTCGAAGTTCCCTAGTTCACACGCTCCAGTTTCAGACTATCTACACCATTAGACCGCTTTTGGATCGTTTATTTTAAGAGGTACGAAAAAGCTCTAGAGGCCAATGATGCAGGACTTACTTTTGTCTCACCATAAAATGTGTTTCGATGAAGAAAAAGTATATTTCAAATCAAAGAGAATATAATATATAAATTGTGTCTGAAAATTAACGCACAATTTGAGTTGGGCACCATTTGTGCAGAAAATCGTTGTCAAACCTGAAAAGTTTATGATTAATAGGTTGACACAGAAATTGGGCCATTGCATGATACAGCCATGTGTTTGTATTATTGAATATCTCAAAAATAAAAGTTTGGCGATCACAGTTCGAAAATTTTCGTGAAATAATGTTTCTTTCATTCAGTGTTTTATCAAAACTTCCTGCGAAATTATTGATTTTTAACATAAAATTACGTAACGTTCTTTGATGCAGAAGTTACCGACAGACACATAAAATGAAAATATATGAAATATCGTTATGTTTAGTACCATGATGCTGTAGGTATTAAGAATGATATAACAAGTCTCTTGCACTTCTTCTATTACCTACACATTTTGAATTAGTTGAAATCTCGTTGGTTTGTATGATCGCTAGGAAGTTGAGCAACAGTTTGATTTTTCAGTGATTTTTTAGCGGTATTTTTATTTAGCCAATCTTTTCAGAAAAACAAAATTAATTCGGTTATTAATTTTAGTTTTGGCGTTATGCACTAATTACTGCAGCGGAATGAAATTGAGACAAATATAATTGGCTCTAAATTTAAAATTAAATTAGTGAAAGATCGGCGTTTGGCGCGTTTTTCGTTTAGTTGTTGAATTTCGTCAAGTTGGTACGTGAAATTTGTCCTTCAAATTTGTATGAAGCGCCAACAGGCACTTTCTACAAAAAGTCAACGTTAAGCAAACTGAAATCGAACTCCCAAGCAATATCATGCAATCATTGAAAGGGCGAACAAGCAAGTGATTAAATAATCATATTTATTCTGTACTTCGGTGCCTTTTTTCGACTATGAATATTCAGTTTGCTATCGACAGTGTCGTGTGAATCGCGTTTTTAGATGGGCAATATAGAATTATTGTGGCCCTAATAGCAAGTGCGGGCGTTTGTAAAAGTGTAGTGAACTTTTTCAGGGTTATTGGGATGAAAATGGAGGATAGGACGCCAGCTTGCAGAAAGTTGGTAAGAACGATTTATACTATAATTCCAAATTTCCGACAAGCAACTAAAGTTTTGTGGACTCTTTATATTTCTCTCGCTTTGCTTCGCTGATTTCAAATAAGTTTCGCTTTGGACAGATCAAGTCCTGCTGTACTATACATATTTAGTCTTTCTTTCCAAGTGGCACTACGCACTTTTCGGTAAGCTTGGTTTGGTTTTGGGGGCAATTTGCCCCTGATTTGTACATGTGGAAATTTTAGTCCCATGTTCATCAACTAACTCGTAGGGTGGGTTTGGTATCGATTGAGCAATTGGTTCTTTCCTACTTAATTTCTAAACTTTGGGAATATTTTTGGGCAGCTTTGTATTTTCACAAGCTTTTTTTTTCAAGCTCATTGTGAAGCTTTTCTCCGAAGAGCCGCTTCAGGTATGGAAATTTGGATTCCAGTTTCAATTTTTTGTTTTTGTTCAAGTTTTTCCTGTTTGTTTTCAAATTGCAAGATGGAAGAACCATTTGAGCCACAGGTCGTTTTTATATCATTGTATAGAGAATTGGACTCGATTCAGTTATAACAACGTGAGTGAGTAAATTTTGGTATATTTGTAATAAAAAATTACGAAATTTGAATATCAGACTTTAGGTGCAAATTTAAGCGAAAATTTTAAAAAGCGTCTTCTCCAGAATGTCAATCTTTCAAGGCTAGGAATGTTTTTTTTGAAGAGTCTGCAGTTACGTAAAACCGCTCATTTACGAAGCGCGCAAAATTCAGGATTTCATGGGATTTGACTGATTTTTTAAAGGTTTGAAGAAATTTGGACGCCATTTCGAGCGCCCTCTGAACCTAGATATTATTTTTCAAAATGTGGATAGCACTTTCAAATTATACGTCCACATCAATAAATATTAGCAGAATTTAAAGTGCTTTTACGATTATAAATTGGAAGTTAAACTCTCAAGATCTAAATGTATTTGTTATGGAAGTATTAACTAAGTAAAGTTAAGTAAGGAAAATGAATTGAATTAGTGTGAGCCAAGGTGACCACCGATAATGTTGATTTTTTGCGGCCTTTTAGGAGCGCACAAGATTTTCAGTTCTGGTTTAACGGAACGTTTTTTGATCCGCCATAGCTACATTTTCCGTCTGTCCCAGACGTTTCAATCTTGATTTTCTGTTGATTTCTTCTTCTTCTTCTTTCTGTTGAATTTTCTGTTTTATCATCACCGCAAATCCTGGTGATAATGTCTGTTTGGGTTGTACTATGTAGACCGAACCGCAGCTGTATAGACGGTTTAACGGTTTTGATTTTGCGTCTTTTCCAGATTCTTCCAATTCTGGAACTCATGGTATATGTACGTAAAGAAGGTGAGTACAAAAAAACAATTCTCAACGATTTCATTCTGTAATGCATCATTACGTCGCTCGAGATTTGTAGGTCTGGGTAATCCTCCTATTTCGTAATTGGTGTCACCGATACTATTCGAACAAAAACAGTACCTAATGCATATAGGCAATCTATATGAAAGTTTGCCGCTTTATATTGATACTATCCCAGTCAGGACAAGAACGCAAGGTCCCGTGATTATCACGTCATATATATAAAACGTAAGAACTAGAGAAATGTCGCGTAATTATTTTGCTTCAAAACAAATAATTTGATCATATTTCGATATCAAATACTAGTTATTTAATTACAATATTACGAATTGGAAACGTCATCTTACGACTTCTGAAGAAGGCTTAAATATAGCCGGAACCTTGGTCCATGAAAAATATTGATCGAAAATCCTCTCATTGTCATAACACCTTATACATACAAACCTATTGATCAAATTTAAATCAAAAAACGTATTAATTAATACATGGGTACCTACGTAATACTTTTAGTTGATTTATTTTTAGATTAACAAATTGGTACTCTAGCAACCCTTAAACCTGGACTTCATAGTTGACGGGATCCTCATTTTTCATAGTAAAGTTATTTTAGTTGGCTGCTGCTCCAACAATACTTTGTAATGTATCCTGAACGTTTCGTGTAACGTTGTCATCAAATGAGGCAAGAGACAGGATGGCAAAGACGGCCATCACAAAATTGAATTTATCTTGGGGTGCCATACAGCATTGATCGTCTGGCCGTTTATAGACGTAGTAACTGTATTGTAAATATAAAAAAGCTCAAAGTTAAGGCTCAGATAAGACGAAAAACATATCTCCTTACCCGGCTACTAACACACTCGTGGCTATAATAGTGAAAAGGTTCATGGTTAGAGCACCTACGACAAATAAGCTAACAGCGTTGGCAAATACGGCAAGGTCGCATAAATCTTGCCGCCTCAATTCTGTTGTTACATATATAATAGTGGCAATTATTCCTAAAAAAAAGATGCGCTGAATAATTCTATAAAAATAACCTATGTTGGGATGAGAGCAAGGTAAAATACTATCTTTAACTTCATTCCTAAACATCTAAGAGTCTATTGAACAAAAGAGTACCGAATTGACGAACTTAGTATGGATGTGAAAGAAACTAAAATCTCATAATTTAAAAGCACTTTTGAACATTCCATAATAACTTTATATGTCACTATAATCTTTGTTATAAAGGTTGTATATTCCAAATTCCGATTTTGCTACACATGAGCCGTTTTCTTTGAAAGTGGGGTAAGTACGTATTATTTAAATTATTCAAAGGCAAAACCTTAAATATCTGTATATTAAATAAAATACTTCACTTTCAAAGAAAACGGCTCATATAATCCGAAATAACTGCTCTTGCTCTCTGCTCATAAAAATGGTGCAAAAGTCTGATCTGAGAGCTCGTGTGAAAATCAAGTTTGCTTTTGGTGGATCTGCTAACAGTTGTGCGGTCTCTCACAACAGATCAAGCTAAAAATATTTTTAAGTTTCATGAAAATTGAGCAAAAGATTGATCGGAGAGCGAGTAATTAATTTAGCATTCAAAAATCGCCACATGAACCGCAATGTTTGTTTATCTTTGGCCAAGAAAGCAACTATCCAAACCAGCTGGTTCGTGAACTGGAAATTTCTGGAAAATTGTCAGTAAGGAAAAAGCTGAAATCGAACCGCATAGTAAAGGAGTCATTTGAAGCTGAACATTTAGTTTGGTCTATAAAGTTCAGCCTAACAGACAAATTCGATCGTTGGTTATTTGTTCAAAAACGGGATAAATGTACCAATTTGGTGCCATTATCTTACCTGGTTATTGCTGAGTGTAATCCACATTTATTTTCAACTTCGTCTAGATATTCATTGTGTGTTCAAGTGTAGTGTGTGCTTTTTGAATATTAATGAATAGACAATGGAGGATGGGGCACCCGTTTGCAGAAAGCAGGTAAGAAGGATTATTAATCTATAAACAGTTAACTTTACCTGAAGTCGGTAAGTTTAGCATTACTTTTCCCCTGGTAGATGTAGAACTTTTAGTTCTTATTGTTGACTTGTATTTTATGATTTGATTTGACGACGAGGGAGATTTTTTTATGGCTAGGGTTGTTTTATTTTAAAAATCGAAGTCACATTTTATACGTTACCCAATGAGGTTTTCTGCAGGGGACTTTTCTGTTTTCATATAATTTTTTTGGCGGTTTTCCTCTGTAATTTACATCCTAATTAAAACGGTTTTGAAATCGCAATAGGGACCGACCGATTTTTCAAGTTAAAAGTCACTCAGTTATAGTTATCATATATTTTGCTAACATTTATTCTTTTAACTTTAACTAGCCAGGTTTTCTACTGTGGAAAGATTTTGTTTGAACCTTTAAAACATAAATAAAAACGAGTGTGTGAAAACGAGACTGTGAACTACACTTTTTATTGTCGTGTAAGAAAGTTTGCGATCTTTTAATTATTGTTTTTCTCTGACTTTCGCCCTTATTTAAACGCTTTTTGTGTTATCAATAGGTACCGATGAATTTTTCAAATTGAATGTTCTTTACACTCAGCTTTTCAATATTCACTATCCAGGTTACTGTGAACAGGTTTCTGTATGAATCTAAAGTATAAAGCGAGTGTGATCTGCTGGGAACTTCACTTTTTAATGTCGTGTTTGTGTAATTTATTGGTGCATGTTCCCATTCTTTCAGTAAAATGCTTGTTTTTATATTCGATTTTTAGTTTACCCTGTTACCTTAAAAATGTGAATCATAAATATTTTCGGATTTACTGCTCATCAAACTTTTTTTCTTTCCATTCTTGGCCTAGTCTGGACCTTTCTTTTCCAATGAAATTGAAAATTGGTGCCGAGTTTTAGCTTAGTGATTTTTAAAATTCAGACAAAAAATTGTTTATCCACTTGATTTACTTGAAACCCAATTTTCGTTTTCCCCATATCTTTTTTGACACGCCAATGATCAGGATGCAGTTTTAAAGATTAGAAAATCCTGGACAAAAAATGTGCTCTTCACACGACCGAACAACTTCTTCGTTTAACTCATCTCATTCGTGTTAATGTTAATTTATATTACCCAATCCTGCATGTACGGCCGATATTTCGGGTGGACCCATATCAGTTTTAATCCACATTTGAGCAGCATAACATGGCAATACCAGTGCAAGTTGGCAATAGTCGAGCAGGTCTCGCAAAGGAAGGAATGATTCTTCATCGACTAAAAAGGAAAGTATGTCAGTAAAAGTCCTTTTAACGGCAGTTTGCTGGAGGAAACATGAAGATTAAACAAGATAGGTACAGTTCACAGTGGCAAATTACAATGTGGTACGATAAACATTAAAGTATTGGTTAAGACTAATTCATTAACTAAATATCTGCACAACATTTGCGAGACTAAGTTCTTCTGCTTTTTCTCAACGTGCCAGCTCCTCACGAAGGTTGGCGACCCAAATGCTCGTTAACAAGTACTTCGTATTCCTCCCATCTTCTGAACCTTCAGTAAGTACCCAACACTATTTCGTTGTTCGCATTTCTCAAGATCCCTACCGGATCTTTTCTGCCCTTGTTGGCCAATTCCTTCACCTCTTTGTGAATATTAGATCACAGTCTAGTCGTGTTTCTCTTGTGCATCTCGATTTCACTGCATTTTTCGGATGTTCGGCAAATGTTTTTGTAAAGTTTTTAATTTTTTGTGGTACTGCATTCTTGCTTTTTACCGTCTCGTTTAAAATCAATTTCAGTGTCTTGAACATATGTGATTGTGTCTTTTATTAATTTCTTGTTCTTGTTCAATTCCCAAGTTGTCCCTTCTTCTGTTTGCTGGGGTTTATTCAACTCGTTGAGTTGTTCGATTTTTGAACCTAGCTACATTTTTATCGCTTTTCAATGTCTTTTTATTTTTTAGACTATAAGTTATTATAGTGCAGATAGAGTGCTTCCAAAAGAAGTTACAAAACAAATGTACATATTTTAAAAGAAACAACCTATTTCTATAAATATTCTTAGGTGCTCCATAAATATACCGACAAACCTGTGTAAGAGCTACTTGACATTGAAATAAGCATTTTTGGCTTCAAAACATGCACTGAGACGTTGTACCAATATACAGAAAGTTTACGTTTTTTTTATAAATATATCTAACTTCATTTTTTCAAATAGAACACCCCATATATTGTTATGCTAACTTGAAGGCCTTTCAACAAGCTTTCAGAAAAAGCTAAATTGTCACTACTTGAATCATACATTTCTGAGCAAATCGGTTGAAAAAGAATGAATCTTAGAAATGTAAGAGTAATGAGAAATGGTTGAATTGGCCGCCTAGATCGCCTGACATGACACCAATTGACTTCTTCTATCGGGTCTTATATTTATAGGTAAAAGTTTGCCTTTATCGCTACCGACAAAGACATAAAAACAAGTATAAAGCAAATTGTTCGGTCTTTTGAAATTAAATTATTTACGTGCCAAGTGCATTAATTTTTTTGCTTATTTGTTGAATTTTGTAATAGAGCAATGAATTTTAACAGCGGTAATTCCTGCAAAAATTTGACTTTGCAACCGATTAACTCATAAAATTGCGATTACAAGTATTGATGATTTATCATTTTTTGAGCCTGTTGAAATACCTTACAAATAGCTTAATAATATATACGGTTAAAAAAATCAGTTAGCAATCTTGATTTAAAAAAACTCGAATTCCCTGCCAATTGGTGCATTATTTGAAAAGTTACGCTATGTTCAGACAAATGGAATTAGATAATTGATTTTCGATTTTTTTCCAAAGTTACTACGGTGCTGTTTCAAGTGTGTTTTCAGCTTTAAGTGTTTATAGATTTACAGTCAATAGTTAAACTCTAATTAGTGTCTGTATATAGAGTTTAACCATGTACCAAATGGTAAACTATTAACAGCAGCCCCAATAAATCTGACATCAAAGTTATCCTTACTTGCAACCAACTGCGACATACTGATGGTTGATATTCCATTCCAAAAAAAAACGTAAGTTTAATATGTCACGATTGATCAATATCGCATAAAAAATAATTTCAAAACTACACTGCAGTTAGCCGTAATCTTCTTTATTGCACCACCCTGTATTCAACGCAAATTTAGAATCCTGTGTTAGGCTTATTATTAGAGTCCGGATTCAAAAGCACTAAAATCCTCGAAAAAGGGGTTTAAAAAGCAAGTTGGTTTCTCACAAAAAAGCATAATAATATGTAAAAAAGATTTAATATGCACCACATTGTTTCACTGGGGTAAAAACATCTTTTTTTAAATGTTTTAAATAAAATTTAATGTAATTAAATGTGAAATGAAATAAATAAACGAACTTTTCTTAATTATTCTGATTACAGTAAAGTTCGCGTATAATGAACCCCGTTATAGTGAACTTTTGCTTAAGTCGAAATTAAATTGTTGTTGTTAGCTTTAGCCAGAACTTGACTGTGAAGATTCTTCTATTGTTTGTTGTTTAGGATTATTGGCATACCATTTTAGGGATTGTTGATGCAAAGTTATTTTAACATGTTGTGTAATATTATATTTCTTATCGCGCTGTGTCTAGAATTTGGAATAACGAATATACATCAAAGAGTTAGTTACATGTTGAAAAACGCAAACTTACCGTCTTTATACAAACTTTTTTTACTAACTAATTGTTGTTTTTAAGGCATTTTACTAACTAATTAACACAAGGTTTTAGAAGACCTTAACTGTTTTGCGCGAGAAAAAGGCGAAAGACACCGGGGAAATACAGAAGTATTTCTTTCTAAACGAACAGACGGGAACCTCACTAGGGATGAGCTCATGAGAGATGAGCAGATAAGAGAAAATTAATTATCAAATTCGATGCGTTGATGTTTATACAAAGTTTTCTGAACATTGCATTTGGGTGGATTGTTTGCATTAAAATGTTGGTCTTATTAAAGCAAAAAAAAATGAAAAAGCTGTAAATAAGCGCAATAAATTAAAAGTACTAAAAATATTGTAAGTACAAAAAAGCACTAAAAATATTGTCATGTTTTTGCACATTCCGTTCACATTAGTTAACAAAATCATATTGATTTTATGACAAACGTAAAATGCTTCTAAATCCGGACGCTATATATTATGCTATTATTACTGGGGTCAACACCGTTCCAGGTTTCAATCGTCCCGTCGCGTTTTATGAACCCAAACTTTTCCTAGTGTAACACTATTTCCTTAATTTTCTTGTTTCTTTCGTACCTGCCAATGTTTTCAAGTGGTGAGACTGCTATCCGCAAAACTCATTTTATTTTGAAGATCATGTAGAAAATGTATGTGTTTAAGATAATCGGAAACTCATAGTTTTAAGCAATTTGTTTATTTAATTTAAAGATCGAAGGAGTCGATTTTCAAGTACACCAATTTTACTTGACAAGAAAACTAAGAAAGCCGTGGAGTAAAGTGGAGAGTATAGATGTTAAAAGCTATTTAATATTTAATATTAAAATTAAATCATAAAATATCCGGCTTTTATAGAAATCACGCGCGGACTCTGTCGAAATGGAGTCTACTTGTAGGAATGATATTTTTTAGGGTTTACTTTTATTATTGAAAACTTTACCTCCGTTTATGTTCCAACCAATTTAAAAACTAGAAATGATGCCCACATCTGAAATCCTCAAAATATTCCGTGGTGCAGAAGAAAGCTGAGCTAGTTCACACATAAGAGTTGGAAGATTCATTCATAAGAAGAACCTACAGAATCAATTCTTCGTATTTAATTTTAGGCATAAAATTAGCGCTGTTTTATCTATAAAGTGTTCGATGATTTAAAGAAATGCAAAACATTACTTACAGAACTCGCTGAACCCCGTTATGCCATTGGCTAGCATAATTATGTAGGAAACCAGTTGCCAATGCCAAAAATCATTTGCAGCGATTTCAGTAAAGTATAGATACAAAGCAGCAGCACTTGTGATAGCCAATACTGTATATGATAATGCCGCAACGACTGTAGGAAAAATTGGGTGGCAAATTACTTTTTCATATAAGTCCGACATCTTTCTATTCCATATATTCTAACAGAAAATTTTGAATGTTTTTTTTTTTCAACAACACAAAATGTTTGGTTTTGACGTGATTAGAAGAGACATTTGATAGATGAAATGTAGTCAATATTTTTAATTAAAAACTTACCTTAAGGTAAGGTAGGCATTACATTATGTGCAGGTGCAGAGCAAGTGGACAATTTTAAGTTTGCTGGCGATTTAAACTCGAAATGTCAAAAATCAAGCCCGACCTTGAAGAAAAACTATTCGCAGGAGCGACCGACGAATAAAATTATTATAATCCCAAAATACACTGGATGTTAAATAGACAACTAGCTTATAATATTGCAGGTTTTCAATTCAATGTTCATTCAATTCAAAAATTTACTTAATTAGGTATGCAAGATTAGATTTTAAAGTTTTTTTGCATTTCAGACTTTCTTTTCTGTTCGCAAATTTTGTAATCAGTTTGTCTTTACAATGTCTAGTTCGGAGATATTTTTTTCCAACAAAGGGAATAAAAAATCTGTTAAACAATCCTCGGTCATTGAATTTGTGAGAAACCCTTTACTTAAGTTTTCTCTTGTTGAGAAGCAAACGTTTTTCGGCAAACATGTTTATTCGATTCACACTATGTTTTTGCTTGTATTGCAATAAAAATTAATGGAAATCTAATACTGCAATGCAGGTAGTAGTTAAAAAAATAAAAGTAGTTAAACGTTTTTCGAGTATATTTGAGAAAGTCTCCGAATTTGAAACAGATTTTATAATTACCTACATGAAGCAAAAGAAAGTTGTATAGAAATCATTAAACAAACGGTAAAAACCCATACTTGAACTAAACACTGTTTTAGGTCAATTTTCTTTAAAAGTAAAGAAAATGCATTATGTAAAAGTTTTCACTAATTTATAAAACAATTGATCGGAACGACAAAAAATTCAAAAACGTTTTCCATATTAGATAACAACTTTTAATACGTTTAATTTAAAAAACTGAAAATTATTTTATTACAAGTTCTATCAATTAAATTACACGTTTCAAAACAAACCAATCTCCAGTTAGTAGACAACACATTTTCTAATGAGACATTGGCAGACTCTGAAACACTAATGGAGGCAGTAATATTGTTAATTCTATTAGCAGACTTATTGTTTCGCCTCTTTTGCTTCGAACTTGGAACTGGTGAGTGGTGAGTTTTTTACAGAATTTCTTCCTGACAATTCACTTGCATATTTAAAAAACTCCCACATGCTTTACTGCTTAAAGAACTTCGTTAAAACTTATGAGAAATTGGCGCCATTTAAGATGCCGTCTAAAATAAAAAGAGTTGGGGAGCTTACAATGAGTACAATGTAAACTTTCTAGCTCACAGAACAGCTCTGAAGATGCTTGCGAAAAGTCAGGAAAATATTATTTTTCACTACAGCCTACCAGCACGTAAAGCTCACTAGTTTCAGTTTTATCAGTGTCTTCAAATAATAAAGTATCTGTTTGTTTCTTCTTCGTTTTATTTTATTTTCTTTGAATTATCATTTCACCGGATTTAAACCCGCCAAAATATTAAATAACTCCTTCTTTTCTTTCAGAACCCTGATGCTGACTAAATCTAAAAGCCTAAATAAAATGTAGGTAGTGTTTTCGGAAATCGTTGGCCGAAATTACAATCGTTCCCAAGAAGTGTTAACTACAATGAGGACAGAAAAGTACGCTACACTGTTAACACATTTAGTGAATAAATATTATTTAATAATATTTCTGTACGGCGGTTTTTATAATGTTTTTCTACTTTACGGCAAACTAGCGTCTTGCAGATTACAGCAAAGCGAAATTATTATTTCCCTAATCTATATGCATTTTTGAGCACGTATTCTTTGATTTATTATATATGAATTTTAACTCAAATTACCCGATACTGCTGAAAAAGGCATTGTAAACAGTTTATATGATGGATCAAAAACAATTTGTAATAAATCTAATTTTCCCGAAGAAAAACAATTCACAAAAGAAGTGTTAAATTTAAATATTTACTCAAATTATTTTACTGGAAAATGTAATGTTTTAAAGAAACTGAAAATCCAACATTAAAACAAAGTCAAAATGAATCAATTGCAAACTTTTTTATTCCAGTTATTGCGGTGATTTCAGGTATAATTAAACGAGTAGGTAACAAATTCATTATTAGGACTATCTCTAAAACTAAAAATACAATTCGAAGCAACATTTCAAAAACAGAATATCATGACAAAATTGAAAATTCGAAAAATGTAATATACAAAATTCCTAACCAAAGTAATTTGATTTCTATTCAATGACCTCAAAGCGATTGAATAGAATTTAAGTGCAGTGCAGTGGGGGAATGAGATTTAAGTGAATGTAGAACAATTTGTAAAAAATCGAAAACTCAGAGTGCGATTTTTTACATATTTGTATTCATTTAGCCATTTACACTGTTAAAATTTATTGGATACTTTTTTAAGATAGCTTTTGAGAACGATAGCAGAATTGCTGTCGAAACGTCTGGTTAAGTACCTAAGTTTGCTAAATTAATTTATTTACTAATTGGTATTTTTCTATTACAGCCTGAACCTAAAACTCTACGTGATAGCTCTTAATTAGCTTTTGATAAAGTATTCGTTCTTTATCGTGAAATGGGAGCATTCTTTATCAATCTTCAATAGAAGACGTGAGCGTGAGAAAATGCTGTCTTTAAAAGACAAACATTTTGAGGCGAAATATCCGAAAAAAGGTTTTCAAAAAAAAATTAATCCCGTTTGTCTTAGAGAACGAACACATTTTGTTGAATAAAATCACTAATCTTGAAATAACGACAACGGAATTTGATTTCTGACCGATTTGTTCCATTTTCTATTACAGAATACATTTTTTTGCTTTGCTCTTATTAACAAGCGAACAATATTTATCGATAGAGGGATTAGCGGGTACGTATTTCAAAGCCATCAGTAATCAATCCGAATGGCGTCTAAAAGAGAATAATAAAAAAAGAGGCAAATAAAGTATCAAAAAGTCCTATTAACATATGGATGTCAGTTACTCCATATTGTTCACCAATCATTAAAAGCGCGATATTCCCTCTTTTGTAAACAGCCATTTTATGAAAGCGTATCTAAAATCTCAAAACACTATTATCCGGCGTATAATTATACACTCACAAAAGCGATTCATAACATAATAAAAAACTTCAAATCCTCTTTTGAAGTCGCTAAGCAGATGCATTTAGACAATGAGATTTAGTAAAAGATAAATCTCATAAAATTTCATAGGATAGGCCCCTCGGATCACTCCCCATGTCAACAGAGACTACGTTTCTCCTGTAATTCGATTTCGTGATGAAGGAATGGGGAACTTGAAACCCGTTTCCTATTGGTCGACAGCAGCCGACGCTCCACCCATAGTACAGTATGAATCTCCCATAGTCGAGTCCCCGTTCCGTATACATTCACAAACTGGTTTAGTGATAAATTGTCCGGGGTATCGTACAGACGATACGTCAAGTGATTCATTTTAATCGCGTGAATTCGTAGTGTTAAAGATGGATCATAATTCGGTTTTGGGCATGATGCATCACACACCTTTCGACAACATCGGCTTGTATGAACAGCCTAAACCTAGATTTATGTTTAAAATGCCCAGAGTGGTTCCGGACCAAAAGGCCAAATATGAGTCCGACGAACTCTTTAGGAGGCTGAGCAGAGAAGGCGAAGTATGTATCTAATTACTTTCGATTGGATGAACAACTTTTTTAATACTTTTTGTGTATCATGTGGAATTAATTATCCTATGAACATTTTATGATGATTTTTGGTACATTTATTTGTTTCAACTAGGTACATAATATTGTGTTAAATTGGTGGTGATTGTTCCCTTTGAAAGACATTTTCCGTTGCTATGCGTTTAACTTTTTAAGTGATCTAAATTTTACTGGCTTTTTTAAACAATTTGGCTTTATGCACTAAGTTGTCCTTTCGTTTGGATTAAATCGTGCCAAAATGTAAAATAATACAAATTTTGCTGTATGGGTAGAAGTGTATTGGCACATTTAGACTTATCTAGACATTATCAAAAGTCTAAGACTGAAAAACAAATTACGGTCAAAAGTCAGGAGCAAGTTCAAAATTGTGGGAATTGGTGGATTGAAAATAAGAAAATTGAATTAACGTGTATCCACATGTGTCCATTCAAAGAGTAGAAGGAAAATCCTCCTGGTTTTTCCCAGACCATTTCAAACCGACGAACCGAGCAAACTATCCGTTTTAAAGAAATCAATAGCCGGTTTCTTAAATAAAACTCCACATTTATAACGTAACAGTAATTTGTACTATATTATCCAAACTTTTGGAACCACAGGCAACAAGTTACTGTTACACAACGGTTTTATGGTCGAAATTTCGAAAATTTGGACCTTAAAATTGACCCTTGAAATAGCCTGACTAATGATAAAGGAATTTTCAAACAGGCGGCCCTTCGAAAATGACAGTGGGGGGTTTCTGAAACGATCGTTATTTATAGTTTTAATAGCGTAAACTGTTTTATAAGTCGGAAAAATGGGTTTCTGAGTCGTTCGATAGGAGCTACTACCGGTTCGTTACATTCAAGAACCTTTATTTGTTGTTAGAAGTTGTAGAAGTGTTTCGACACCTAAATTAAATCGAACTGAGGTAGAAGGATGAGTTCTGCCACTGAGTGAACTTGGAACTGTCCCGGATGATATAAAATTTTGAAAATTTATTAAAAGATCCGGTAAACGTCGTTTTATGCTGTTGTGAGTTATGCCTACTTTATTTCATAAAATCTTTCGTCCTTCGATTTAATTGAATTAAGCTAACAAAGATAATGTTTATGAAAAAATTGCTTTTATCATTCCATCGGCAATAGTCAAATTCATTAATCTTTTCGACTGCTTGGAAAATTATTTTCTCGGGACGACCCAAAATCCACAGTTTATTGAAAGAACCTACAAAGTTGAAGTTTTCTCTTCAGCTATTTGCACGACGCTATGAAAGACCCTGAATATCTACAAGTTTTTGAGGGCCTAACAATGTCTTTCCAAAATCTAACTCTCTTTTTATGTGTTACAATTATTAACCATCCATAGAGTCTCCCTCTGCCCAAGCTGGGCAAAGAAAACCAAATTGCGGAAATGAAACGCTGGATCCATTCGTGATTGGTGACATTTGGAAACATGAACTATATTTTTAAAGATAAAAATGTACCGATAAAACTGAAGAAGAAAGCCTACGACAGCTGTGTTCTGCCGGTTCTCACCCACGACTTGGAAACTCTAGCAATAACCCGAAGATCAGCTGAGCAACTGAGAGTCGCACAGAGAGCCATGGAGAGAATAATGTTGAGAATTACTTTGAGAGGAAAATTGTGTGGTACGACCACAAAAGAGATGGATAGGCGATGGCAGAACAGTGGCCGGAGTACAATGAGTGAGACTAGCGAGATATCGCGAGGTATGGAAAAACCTAGAAGAGGTCTATAGTCTATATCCGACAATGAATGAACACGGGCTGAAGAAGAAGAGTCTCCCTCAGCAATATGTTACAAAAATGTTTCCCTTAAAACCTAAAAACAGATTTAATTGTATGGCATACCTATTTTTCCGGTTTGGATTAATAACAAGTTCTTTGAGTTCAGACCTTGTTTCAGGCATTTTCTTTGTTTTGATACATTCGTTCCCGCACGTCGATGCTGAACTTATTACCATGTCTTTATTTTTGCAACTAAACTTTCTTTTAATTGCGTAGTTGGTAAGGGTAACAAATTCGTGCAATTTGAGTTAAATTTTTTAAATAAAAACACTACATTTTTGGTTCGTATACACGGCTACCACATATTTTGCTACAAAAATAATAATTAAGTCTTTGAAAAACCGCAATCTTTTTATCCAAGTAAATTTTCTGCGTTAACGTGAGTTATAATACAATCCACTTTGAGCGGAAGTCCTATTGCGATTTTAGAATCCACATTTTTTCTCGCTTTTAAAACAGTGTGTTTCAGACTGCTATTAAGTTATTAACCTTATGAAATTTAAAGTAACTATTTGTTGAATCACGACCAGGAAGCTGATGCACATAGAAATACCTTTATAATTAAGTAATTCTTTTATTAAACTATGAATCAAGTTGATATTTATGTATAAGGTCCGGAAATGTTTAAAGTGTTAGTAAACTTGGAAAAAAAACGCAAATATTTTTTTTGAACGCTTAATTGAAGGGTTTCAAACAATTGATCAATAGTTCTGTGATAACTATCATCTATTGCTTATCAAGTTTTCTGGCAAACTGTAAGTGGATTGTGAGCAATTCGAAATAAATCCAGTTTGATCTAGAAAATAATGCATCTTGTTCGAGTTAGCTCTTTGTTCAGATACTTTCTTTAGTTTTATTATCTTTGTGAGTCTATTCTTGTTTTTAGGCTAACATTGTCCTACACAAGGGCATTGATTCTCTCCGTTCTGAGCCCCCCTCTGGTTTTTGAGTAGGTATAGCGAACCTCTCCGATTAGTCATGTTGACCGTTTCCAAAAGTTTCTTTGTATTTGCTTCGCACATGTTTGTGAGTCCGTCTAAATTAGATATTTATTGCTCAGGGTCTTTTTTTTTATGAAAACGAGTTTTTGTTTCAAGCATCTAATTGTTGGTTACAAGTTTGGTAAGGCCAGAATGTGTGTGTGTGTGTGCCAGACTCGAAAGAATTTTGTGAGATTTTGTAGGACTATTTTACCTGCTGCATCACAAAAGCCACATTTATGTTTTAAATCTTCCAGTAGTCCAGTAGAAATCGTTTTAACCATCTTGAGCTTCTTAACTCTGAATGGAAATTCTAAGGCTTATTTTTTTTCTGGTCTGCATTTTGCATTAAAATCCAGTAAGTCAGTTAATTTAGCAGAAGCGCGTGGGACTTTTTCACTAATTTCCCCTAAAGTATTGTTAATGGGCAAATAATCATAACAGTGAATGAATCTTTAAAAAAGAATAATCAAAATTAATTCCTGGGTTGTATTGTCATTTATTGTCTCTATCAATTAAAATACGTTTCGGTGTATTTGTCTACCATTATCAGTTTTTCTAAAAGAACAGATAGTTAAAAACATTTTTTTATTGATTTAAAAAACAACCACAGTTCGTCAACAGCCTCATCATATCACACATTAAAATACATCAAAATTGCAATACTTTAAAACTCTAAAATTATTTAGGCCTAACAGGTGATTTAGTCAGGACAATCAAACCTGGGAAGAGACTAGAATTCTTCGTTAAATATTTTTACTTAAATGTGTAGCGTTGTTGCTGCTTTAAGCCTTGGCATATATTTGGAGTATTAATGTTGTCCATTTTCGACACAAAGCGAATAAAATACTGTTTATATTGATTTCTTTTACTTTCAGCTATTTTTCTTTGCATTCTGAGAATATTATTTTTGGTTTGCAAAATTCTTCAATATACCGGGTGTTAGTTAATATTCTATGTTTATTTCATTTAATTAATATATGATATACTGAGTTAAGATGTCGGTATCCGATCTGAAATTCATAGCATTGTTATGTTTTTTAATCTGTATCATTTCATGGACTCTTCTCTTATTATAATTACTCTCGTCAATCAGTATTTTTGTGTTCATCATTATCAAAATTATGCAACTTCTGTTGTGCATGCTGTGCTAATGCTGTACCATTTTCGTTATTTTTTCTTAGGCTATACTTATGCTCGTATATTCTATTCTTTAGATATTGTCCTGTTTGACCTATGTATGTGTTCTCACAATTCAAACAGTCTATTTTGTAAATTACATTAGGCGTGTCTAACTTGTCAATCCTAGGTTTAAATTTTGTGAAACATTCAACAACATGTATCCGAAGAACTCTTTCCTGCTACTATCACTAGAGGAGCCGGCATGTTTAATGTGCAAAAATTTCATCTGACTATGACTTCTTCGAGTACAATCCTCTTTAATTTTTTTACGGAAAAAATTCAAATTATTCTTCTATCTTAAACATCACATCTTTCGCATCATAAACATTCCGACATTTATAGATCAGTAGAGTAAATAATACCTTATTCATTCTTGCTCGGTTTTCACAAATTTACGTATTTAAAACGAAGTATACAGTGTGTCCCAAAATTGTCGTTCAGCAATTACAGAACATAGAGAACACCTGGAAGCAATGGTAGCACTTCATCTAATTTTCTCACTTCTGTGCTTTACGGAATTTGAAAATTTAAATTTATTCTTAATTTTTACACTGTTTATTCGGCGTCGTTGAACATTTTTAAACGATCGTGGCTGATAGATACTCGTATTTTTTTACTGAAAATCTATCCGAAATCTTGCTGATTAATGTACAGGTACGGTCGAAATAAATATTTATAATGAATGCAAATCTAACGGTGGTATATAAAGGGTGTTGCATAAATATGTTAAAACCTTTTATTTTGTTCAGAACTTTTTTGTGTATACTTTTCTCGACATAATTTTGTTAATTACTACAAGTTATTTACCAACTTTTCTATCTCTTATTGTTTTTTCCTAAGACCACTAGTTTGTCCGCAAAAAAATAAAATAGGTTTCTTTGCCGTTCTCAAAATGTGTAAGTAATTAAATTAATTTTTTTAAATCTAATAACGTTTTCATATAAAATTTTGGTACGCATTATTAGTTGATTACTAACAACCTAAATTATTTTTCTAAATTGTGTATCTTGGTTTAGATTACAATTATTAAGTTTGAATAAATTTTACTTGAATAATAACATGGTAACAATATGCGCAACCATATAAACAAACAAAATTAAATTTAAATAACCAATCTAATGTTAAAAAAAACTTAGCAGCTGTTAAAATTGGTCACTTTGACATTCTTGGCATAATCGCAGTATTTTAATGAAATTTCAATTTACAGGCCGTAAAGTTTGCACTGAAGTTCTTATTTCGTTAGAAATATTAAATATGTTCCTGAAATTCTTCAATTGAATTCACTTGTGTTGAATATACCGTATTTTTAAATGGTCTCAGAAGTAAAAATCAAGCTCGTTTAGATCGGGAGATTTAGGAGGCGAGCTTATAGGAACTTCTTGATCTCTCCCAATCCAACGACTTGGAAAGTTTTGATCAAACCGAAACCATTTAATTTTTTTACGGGCAAACTAATGGGCGTAGGAAAAAACAACAAGAGATGTCGATAAAAGTTTAGGTGTACACAAAAAAGTTCTGAACAAAACGAAAATTTCTATTTCAAGCCTGTATAAAAGTAAACTGAACTACAAAACACTACCATCGAATAGCACTCAATTACCTTATAATGTATACCAAAATTGAAAATTCTATGTTTAACCGTTTTAAAGAGAAACAACCAAGACTAATATTTTTTGCCATTTTGGAGATCAAATATCTCGAAAATGAAACCTCAAATTAAAAATTTTTAAAATTTAAAAAAACGAATGTAAAAGAAGTATAGTAGGTTTCAGGGCGAGAAGTTTAAGTAACATGTTATTGCTTTTGCCACTCTTCCGACTAAACAGCATCAATGTTCGAGGATTTTAAGTAAAAAATGTATCTATAACTGAGCTCTCAGAACAACCGATTTCAATAGAGTCAAATTTCAATATTTTAAGGTGATTTTGAGTTAAACCATCGAACACTCATTTCCAGACACTCTGTATATAATAAGTGTGCTCGCCACATTGTTGTGTTTCATCATGCAAATATGAAGTCAATTGGAACATCTAAGATTCCGCGGAATTACCGACCCGACCCACATTGTTTTGATGAATCATAGAACTACGAAAACATTATATGATAGTAATAATATGCCTAAATGGTGACTTACATTCTTAGAAAAATGAATTCATAATATGAATCTTGAAAAATCCCGGGTTGATCTGAGAATGGGACAATTTATAATCTAATTGGAAATCTAGTAAAATCTAATCAAGTGAGCCTTCAATCAGTTTTTTTGAGACCAACTCATCAACGCCGTGTACAATTGGCTAATTATTTTTGTGTCTGAAGAATAGGGCAAATATTACTTTATCAGGTTTTCAAATGTTGGTTCTATAATCTTAATCTGTAGAATAAACAAATTGTTTTAGAATTCGATTAATCAAAACATCTCCAGTTCCAAGGACCCGAATTCTAAAAAATATGGTTTTTTGATTTAGGTTTAGCTTACCAATATCCACCCCAATCTTTCAAGCGAAACACCTCAGGAGATGCAAGCCATTCGTACTTGTGATACGACAGGAAGAAATTATTTTTTAGGCCGGCTTCAGAGCCCGAAAACTCAAAAAGAAAGTTTCATGCAATGAAATCGGCCGGGGTTGATAGAAACTATTTGAACAACTACAACTTTTTAAAATTAAAATTGTTTTGCGATATTTGTGGCACATTTCCGAATAACTGTAAAGAGTGTGTTTTCGGTTAACTATGTGTTAAACTATGTGATAAGAAAATACTTGCAATGTCTAGACACTTTCAAGAACTGTGAAGTGCATATGGAGTTTCAGAAAAAAATCTTCTCTATTTGTCACTATCATTTTAAGACAACACGGTCTAAGTTTCAAATGCGGATTTGCATAGGAAACATATATGTATTTCTATTTTTATGGAATTGTGGGAATAATTTTTTCTTAGTCTATTTTTTTGCTGAGTGCCAACTTAGGTACAATTTTTGTTGTTTATGGTTTTCTCTCTGGTCAAAAAATCAAATGGTAAAATTGATTAAAGTTTGGAAACAAACCAACGTGACTTATATGATTATTTAACTTACAGATTTATTTTACTTACTCAGTTTACTCTATTTTAACTACATATTGTTATATTTTGCGTTAATTCCTATAAAAGGAGAAGGTTCGTTTGGTTAACGGACTATGCAAACTCACTAATAAAACTGACTTTTCCTTTGTTGGCTCCGCTTGTTGTTTGTAATGAAATTTTGAAAAATAAAATATGGGCATTCTGAATTTCGATGTAGGAATGCAGCAAGAAAACCTTAAATAAAAAAACATATTTTAAACGTGAATAAAATTATTCCGTTAAACCAATTCTCAATCTGTATCTATGTGTTCGTGTATGAATAACCAGTTGCTTTTGTTAATTAAATTAACATCCCTTACATCCTCTATTTGTCTATACAGAAATTGAAATCAAAGGTACCCGGTAATTTGGTTCAACTTAGGAGTGTTATGGCGTATTTTCAGTTACTTTTACTTTTTAATATACCCTTATTTTTTGCAGGTTCGCTATACTGGACATAGAGACAGGCCCCAAGAGGAAAGAGTAAAACGATTTCTTGCTGCTTGCCAAGAGGGCCATACCGAAATCGCATTTTCCGCCACCGGAACTAATTTGCAATTAGTCTTCAATCCCCTTAATCAGGGTTATATGTCCGACCAGTGCGACTTCGAAAAAGAACCAGGAAAAGTAAGTGAATACTTTTTTTATCGGCCTGAAACCGATTTTTTCTTTTTCTCTGTTTGCGCTACTCCAAGTTGTAAAACTATAATTCAAAAGTATTGAGCAATAGAATAAAGTTTGCCACGCCACTGGTGTCCATTCAATCGTTCAAAGCGTCTCATCTTTATTTCAAAATGGCGAATATCGACGCTCTTTCTGCCAACCAATCGCAAACCGGCGTCTTTATTGATCGCGCTATTCGGCGCCATGCTAAAGGGGAGAACCCTGCCAAGTTGTAACACAGCAGGAAATATTTTAGCAGCAAGTCGTTTTACGTCTGTTGGGACCTCCAAAATAGACTAGCAGAACTGCAGCAAACAGCAGTTTAATTTAACTGTTTTAGACTTAATTTTAATTAGTTTATAACTTTGGATAGCAATTTCGCACAAAGAAATGTCTGCGGAAAATTGCTGTCCCAATTTATAAACTAATTAGATTAATTAATTAATTAATTAATATTAATCAATTAATATTAAGACTAAAACAGTTAAATTAAGTGCAGATTGCTTTCGTTGGTTTCTTGAATATTATTGAGATCGCTTCTGCCAAATTCTGTCTTAGCTTCATGCCTGATTAAGATTTTTACGTATTCGATGCTTTGTGGTCGATGTACATAAACCTTGGATTTTAAATAACTATCTTAGTCTTAATTTCTATTTAGTCTATAAACTTGGCTGACAATTTTTCTTAGGGATTTCAGAGGTAAATTTCCAGAAAACCGTTCATTATAAGTGCCTAAGGGTATGCTACATATAAAATGATTAGAAGTTTCCATTTAAAAAAGTTGTCCTTCGATATCATAATTTTTGTTGGATCGTCCTACATAAACATAAATTAGTTTATGTAGGATGTAGGTTTATGTAAATAAAGTAGTAAAGAAAATCCGCAATCAAAAATAAAAATCGACGGGTTAAAGCAATTTTTCGAAAAACAAACACCCGATTTTTTAGTAATTAAGGAAATATCTGCAATACATTTTTCGCTTACTGTAAATAAAGGGTGATTCAGTTTATACTAGCAGCAGTCTCTGACGTTAAATATACTACTTTATTTTAAGTTAACTTTAGTTCATATTTCAATTTCTCAAATTGTGTAAACATTTTGCTTTATAAATTGAGGTACTTTTTTCAAATTACACGAAAATAGCACAGTTACCATAAAAATTCCAAGGACTAAAAGGATTTTAAACTCAAAGAGGACTTGATATCAATGGGGCACCTCATCAAGTACCTGGATTGAACATTTGAAAGAATTATCATAAAATGTATTGATCCCGAAAAAAACTATCAAAAATACAAAGCTTTGTGTCTCAAAAACGAAGCTTTTCCGACCACATGATATGACGAAATTAACTTGGAATAAGTTTCTCTATAAAATCCAGATTCCTGCTTGTATAACTCACACTGTATATAATAATATATTTCACACTGTATATAATAATTTTGGACCATTTAATTTTTTAGATTTAAGCTTAGGTACTGATCGTTTAATCAAATATTATTTACATTATTTTTTCTGTTCTTCGGCTGCGTTATAGAATTTTTTTTATTGCTTGTTTTAGTTTATGTGTTGCTTAATATTTAAATTTAATTTAAATTTTTATAGACACTGATGTAGTTTTTCAAATTGTTTGTTAACTGAAATTCCTGTCCGCTTTAGCTTCGTAACTAATCTTCAAACTGTTCAAGTTTAAAAGTTTTTTTTCTTTGGGCTTTCTACAGTTCTTAATTTATTTGGCCGAACTTTGACATTTGCTATGTGTAAGATTTACATAATTTTGGATGGAAAATGGTTTTGAGAAAGCGTAACATTTTTAGAGAGCACATTTTTTCTGTACATGAAGCTTAAGCTTATCGCATATACAGGCTGATTTTCAAGTAGATTTTTCCTTTTAATGGTAGTAGTTCTAACTAAAAACATTGCTGGTAAATCACTGATTAAATAGCTTCAAATATTCGCTACTTTTGATATTTCGACAAATGCGTAAATAAAAATGAAGCTTGTCTCCTTGAGGCCTATCTACTCCTCAAAAGAAATCTTTAATTGAGAGAAACCTGGTCTCTGTCTGTACGATACGCAATGCGCTAAGATAAAAATTGTTTCATGTGTCGCGAAAAAATTTATAAAACAGGAAAATATTTATTTTCTATTAAACAACCAAACCAGAAATTTATATGAACAGGATTCTTATCTACGATATTTGGTAATAATTTATCATAATTTTTAGTTTTTCAAGTTGCTTTCTAATTATAGTAGTTTTACTACCATAATTTCTTTCACAAGAAGAAGATCTTTCATCTAGGAGCAACATTTGAAACAACATTCAAATATGTTAATTCAGACAATAAACTCTTTAATTTATTTTAACTGATTTTAAATATATTGGGGAATTTAGACTTGACAACTTTACAATTCTTACATCTAATTATCGATCTTTTTGTGTCATCTCTATATGATATTATTCATTATTTCTCCTCAATTTTTTTGGTTTTAGAACTAGGTATATAAAGCTTACATATGCATGCAAAAGACACATTTTAACCCAAACGGCAATAAACAATCTATTCGGTTCGTTGAGCGTAGTAAATTTTTAATGGGTACCCTCAAAGCAACATTTTACACTCAGTTTACGAGCAAAACATGAAAATATGGCCTAATAACACTGTTGCTTATGGTCGTTTCACTGGACAGATATGGTTCTTTAGTGTCATAATTATGGGCCTTCCACAATGGGGTCGAATTGGCTACGTTTAGCCTAATAACCGTACAATTTTTTATTTTTTTCATCCGGAGCAAATAGAACTATTTGGACCGTATTTTTTTTATAATTTAATATGTGAAAATAACGAAATAGTTTTCTTTCACTGTTTTTTGACATCATTAGACTTTTCACTACAATTTTATAAATTAATCTTAAGAAAGTTGTGCAAAAACATCAAAATTAATGGGTGGTATTCAAGTCGAGTTAAGCCCTTTACTTTGCCCTATAACTATTAATATAAATACATTTCTGTTTGTTTCGTTTAGGAACCACCTGTGTTCGATCCCTTCGGATCACTAAACCCAATCGTTTCATGTACTTCACGGCATAAAACCCATATTTAATAATCTCGAATCTGTGACAGCTCCCTGTGTGGTATCCGCCAACTGTTTACGTTTTTCATAAATTCTCATATAGGGCGAAAAATTAGCAAACAGGATTACAAGGGCTTAACCATTCTTCCGGATGTTTAGGGAAAGATACACAATCCGGATTGATGGCTTTACCACATGGATTCACTTTAAAAGCGAGCTTAAGATGAAGGAAACGATTTAATAAATCATGTATAAGGAAAACCCCGGTTAGAGAGATTGTACAAGTTTGGTGAAATCGTAATGGCCAAAAGTGACACATGTTCTTTCAGCAAAATAATTTGAAAGTTAAGACTATCATTCTAAGAAAATTCTCGGCCGGAATTCAACAGTTATTTGTACTTTGTAACATAGTTGTAATGTATTTTTCTAATATTTTTTCTTTAACATTACATTTTCAGAATAATACTAATTGTTTTCCAAAAGTTAGTCTTTTGTAATACAGAGCAAAGTATTAAAATCAGTAATATTAAATGGGACTAAATAGTAAAAACAATTTTAGAATTTAAGCATACCTGTTACTCATGTATGTAAATAATATTAACAACATTGAGTTTTATAGTTCATTTTTTGTCAATTGGTTTGATTGTAAATTTCGTAATTTTGTTTAATTACGAATTATGTAATCGCTTTTTGCTCTATTTTTTAATAGAAGCTTGTTAATACCGAGCTTTATATTTGAAAATTGTTGAAAATATTATTTCTAATGCAAGAAACCAATGAAGGAATTGCAGCTTCTAATAACAGTTTAAATGTAAGATTTTTTTATTCTTATTTAGCTGCAAGTGCTCAGTGAAAAATTGGGGCGATTTTCTTTCCAAACCATCTTTAACTTTTGAGTGCCAATCAATTTCGTGCTCGAAAAGCTTGGCACGACAAATACATTCGACTCTAATGCAATTTTTGTGCCGAGCCCTACGGATACGAAACTGATTTAGGGGCAAAAACTGATCAAAGTGCCAATTTAAGACGATTTTTCAGTCGCAATCAGTGTCGTGCCCGAAGGACGCGGCACAACACATACGTTCGGCTCTAATGCGATTGTTGTGCCGAGCTCTACGGACCCGATACTGATTTAGTGTCAAAAACTGATCAAAGTGCCGATTGAAAGCAATTTTTCGACTCCAAATCAGTGTCGTGCCCGAAGGGCTCGGCACAACAAATAAATTCAACTCTAATGCGATTGTTGTTCCCAGCTCTACGGTCCCAACACTGATTTAGTGGCAGAAACTGAACAAAATCTGATTTAACGCTATTTTGAGAGTCCAAATCAGTGTCGTGCCCGAAGGGCTCGGCACAACAAATACATTCGACTCTAATGCAATTTTTGTGCCGAGCTCTACGGATACGACACTGATTTAGTGGCAAAAACTGATCAAAGTGCCGATTGAAAGCAATTTTTCGACTGCAAATCAGTGTCGTGCCCGAAGGGCTCGGCACAACAAATAAATTCAACTCTAATGCGATTGTTGTGCCCAGCTCTACGGTCTCAACACTGATTTAGTGGTAGAAACTGAACAAAATGTGATTTAAAGCTATTTTGTGAGTCCAAATCAGTGTCGTGCCCGAAGGGCTCGGCACAACAAATACATTCGACTCTAATGCAATTTTTGTGCCGAGCCCTACGGATACGACACTGATTTAGTGGCAAAAACTGATCAAAGTGCCGATTTAAAGCAATTTTCCGACTCCAAATCAGTGTCGTGCCCGAAGGGCTCGGCACAACAAATTCATTCGGATCTTAAGCGATTGTTGTGTCGACAACAATGATTCAGGACACTGATTTAGTTGCAAAAACTCAACAAAGTGCAGGTTCAAAATGATCGAAAAACTGA